GTAGGAGTAGTAGTAGTAGTAGTAGTAGTAGTAGTAGTAGTAGTAGTAGTAGTAGTAGTAGTAGTAGTAGTAGTAGTAGTAGTAGTAGTAGTAGTAGTAGTAGTAGTAGTAGTAGTAGTAGTAGAGACTATGGGGCATAGGAACTCAGGTTTTGCTGCTAAGTTGATGAACGGTATATATGCGAATTAATAAGGAATTCGCGCGAGTCCACTAGAACTAGGGTTAATCGCTGCTTCGATTTCAGATGAGAAAGAGCGACAAATGCGTTTATCAGCAGCGTCGGACCTAAGGGAGCTCTGGTCAGCCTATATCAAAAGGACGTGTGTTGTTGATGGACGGCTGAATGTGAAGGAGTTACGGCAAGCGTCTTGGCTGGGAGCAGTGGTGGAAGTCATTGACTCGACGGACCGGTACATGATTGGTCTGTCGGGTACAGTGATGATGGAGAATCAGAACAGTCTGGTTGTTATGGACCACGATGATGCTAGGTGAAACTCGTGTAATTTCGTGGCGCGTGACGGATTTCGCTGTCAGGTATCGACTTCTGCCAAAGTCAGTGTGCACTTTCGAGCTGAGAGTTGGAGCATTAGAAGCTCGGCAAGGTCAGCAGCATCGGATCACCGTGTTTGGTCCGGATGTACGCAATAAGCCGTCTTCACGAGGAGAGTGCCCTCCTAGGCCCAGACTTAAAAAATTGTTACTGTGAATTTGGAGTGTTGTATTGGGGGACATATTTTGTTCATATTACTGCTCGAATTGGCGTCGCATTGTGTGCTGGTGTTGTAGCAGCAATCTTTTTGTAGTTTTGCATGTTCTTTTCTTCTCACTGATAGCAATATAGCAGCACGCTGGCTACTTAGGTTGTTGCGGGTATGGAGATATATGCACGCAGTCAACTACATGTGTAGTTGACATTTGTGGAAGTTTCGAGGAAATTCTCATTGGTTTCTCTACACTTCTACCCGAATTCGTATGTAAACTTGTATAACTAGCTCTGGAAACTTCTGGGCTCAGCTGAGGAAAGCGATTGCATATATTCCAACACTGTATATGGATCCTCTGAAACCACAGCTCATAAGAATTGGGTGAAGAGTGGTATCGTTATCCTTATCGGATAATGATGGTACTTGTGCTATGCTACTTGGCCTGTCAGCTGGACATGGTTTTGACAGTTCGAGGGAGAGTACGTAGGGAGTAGTTGCCCGAAGAGTGCGGAAATGTGTAGGATAGCAACATACATAGTTGGCAATGTGAGAAGTATGCATATTAATGTGTTGGCGGCAATATGGAAATTCTGAGGAAATTCTTTCTGTTTTATGTACACCCCTGGTCTCACTATAGGTAGAGGATATATATTCCAACGCTGATGCTGGCCTCATACCATCCCTGGAGCACTTCACAGTCCCTGCAGAAGCGGCTTTGGCAGATACTGATGATGAAAATGACATTCTGTTTTCAAGTGCCTAATGACGTTCTATCGGTGAAGATTTTTTTCGTGTGTTCTCAGCGAGTTCAGTACGATGACGACAAGACTCCTGCTAAGGCAAGAGAGTATCGAGAAGTCGCCGAGATCATGGTTTTGCTGTTGTTATGTTCTCCCGTGCGAATTCCAGCGTTGATTTGAGGAGTGGGAGCCCATCTGTAATCACATGAAGTTTTCAAACGATTATAATATAATGTGGGAATATATACTCGCTTTGCTTGGCCGGGTGCAGATTTTTCTCACGAATGTAGGAGCATACAGAAACCAATAAGAACTCCACTGAGTTTTCTCAGTGAGAAACTCACACAGTTTTTATATTCACAAAAAACACGTGTGGTGAAGTGTGTGAGTATTTTCCCACACTTACGTTATATAATGGAGTTTCATCCTAGTGATATGAAAAACACTAGTGAAAAACATATTTTACGACTACTGCATATCAACGCGAATATCGCGTTTTTCCCCGAGTTTTACGCCACTTCACGTAAAACGGGTGAAACTCCAATGAAGAATGTTCAAACAAATAAACTACTCATTAATCCACATAATTTAATAGTATATAGTTGACGAAAAATAATATGATAACGATAAAACAACCTAGTGTAGATATTGGTGACACTCTTGAGTGTCACACTTACATTGCCTTGTACAGTATTAACATCCGATTAATGATGGTCCAGCATATGGTCCTATACATCACCCTGGCTGCCCTTCAAGTAGGTGTTCTCTTCTGGTGCTTTACTGGGCCCAGGAGTAGATGCACTGATCGTAGAAGGCAGACTCTGATGGCAGGCTGTGGCTTGCTGTGGTGCCTGCTAACCGAAATAGTAGAGATAACGGGCTACCGAGAGGCCGAGGCGACAACAGATTATAGGTAAACAGGCACCTCTGGGTTTCAGTCAGGTTTAGAATGCAGAAGTTATATAGTACATGAATCAATAGCATTCGGGGAATACTAGTAGACTAGGCTTGCATCGACTCAACACTGTTGCTGCTGCTGTTGCTGTTGCTGCTGCTGCTG